AGTGACAAATATGTTCACACACTGCAGTCTTTTTGCCCCTTCTTGTCAGGGTATAGATCTGCAATTTGTCCTAAACATAATTTAACAATAATAGGAATTTGTTTTGTACGATACCAGCGTAGAGGTCAGTATGTGACTCTCAGGGTAGTCACTGCTAGGGATTGTATTGTGGGCCTGTTGTGCACTTTAACCACCTTCCGTCTATGGCCGTTTGTGAACGGACGGATGTCTGCTAGGAGCGGGAGGGCGTCTTAAGACGTCCTGCCCCTCCCCCTCTCGTGTGCGGCACTCAGCGCGCACGCGAGAGGGAAAACTGTGAGCATGTAAACAGCCAGCGATGGCTGTTTTACATACAAGCGATCGGGCGTCTCTAATAGAGCAATAATTTTAGGGCGATCAATCACTGATGACACTAAACTGATGAGCGGTAAAAACGTTTAAAGTGTCGCCTATAAGCCAATTTTGGTTGCGGTCGTTTTATGCGATTTCGCGGGGGCGCGCGCAATTTTAAAGGTTGACATATTTAGTGTCTATTTACCTGACGTGACCCCATCTTTTATATTATACCAAAAAATTTGGGTGAAAATAAATGTTTCATAACATTTTATAGGGAAACATTGTTTTTTTTACAAAATTTAGTGTACTTTTTTTGTTATATAGTAAAAAATAAAAACCCCAGTGGTGATTAAATACCACCAAAAGAAAGCTCTATCTGTCCCCAAAAAATGGTATAAAATTCATGTCAGTACAGCGTTGCGTGACAGAATAAATGTCAGTCAAAGTACCGCAGCGCTGAACACTGAAAAATGGCCGGGACAGGAAGGGGGTGAAACACCGCGGTCAGCAAGTGGTTAAACAGGTATTGCATTCCCATACAAGTCAATGGGAATTCAAAACCTCTTTGATGCTGGTTAGGTGGAGGTGAGCTGCACGTCCAATGGATTATGAAGCTCAGAAGCATCTCAAACTGATGCCATCAACACAAGCCCTTAAACTATCTTCATGGGGCAGTTGTGCTCTGGGATCTATTGCTCTATGGGCAGTCAGGCTCTGCTTGCAGTGGCGTCACAAGGGGGGTGCGTGTCACCATTGCAGGGGTGACACCAAAATGACCCAACAGTCATTTTGGTGTCACCCCCTCTAAAAAGTTGGGCGCTCGGTCATGGGCCGAGAGCCCGACCGTGTCAGAGAGGAGGGGACCCGGCGGCATACCTCATCCCGCCGGGTGAAGTCCCCTCCTCTCTCTGCTGGCGTCCATCACCAAGATGGCCGCCGGCAGGAGTCAGTCAGATGGCCGCGCATGCGCAATGAGACACGGGGTGACACCCGGCCTTGGGGCGCCCCTGATGGGGAATATTGTATAAACTGTACCCCTTATTGGGAGTGGGGGCTAATAGTGAAGCATGTAGCGTGCCGCGCCGAATGGTAGATGTGGCCAAATTGTACAAACAGATCAGTCTGTTACACTAGATTCCTTGGGTCTAGGGCTGCTTGCTCTTGAGAGAAGTGAAGGGCACATCACTCAGTTGGGAATGACTGAGGTGTTGGAAAAATGCAGCCGCAGAATTACTCTTAGGAACCGCTGCACTGTGGGGAATTGGGCTCTGCAACCTGTTGCTCTAGGCAGGGATGGCCAAACTCTGGCCCTCCAGCTGTGGTGAAACTACAAATCCCATGATGCATCTCTCTCCGGGAGTCATGTCTGAGAATCTTGCAAAGCCTCATGGGATTCGTAGTTCCACCACAGCTGGAGGGCTACAGTTTGGCCATCCCTGTGTCTAGGGGCAGTGGGACCGCTTTCATTATAGCAGACCCTTAAATGACTGGTCTGTAGTCATCGGTGGTGGATTTGGGTGCACTGATTTGCAGAGTTCTGGCTCTGTGTATTCAGAGAATACCGATCCTTGCACTGTGTCGGTGATGGTTCTCATTCATCCAGGTCATGGTATATGTGTAAAAAAAAAATGTCAAGGCAACTGGACTTTCTGTATTTTTCTTGACGTTTCACTGGTCAACCAGCTTTCTCAATTCAGGCCCCGTTCACATTGAGCGATTTATTGCGCGGTAATTCCCGCGATATCGCGGCTATTTACCGCACGATATCGCTCTTCAATGCATCTCAAAGGGTCCTGCTGCCGCGGGTCGTGTGTCGCTACAGCAGGACCCTTTTATGGAGCGGATTTTGCCGCGATTCTCGCTCAATGCAAGCATTTGCGCGATATCGCGCAAAATGCAAAACGTGCGATTTGCAAATCGCGCAATGTGAACGGGGCCTCAGAATGACTTGTACAAAAACTCTCTAGGAATAAATGGTGAATGTTGCTCCAATCCACATAATCTGTTGGTCACAACCAGGTGTTGATTGCATTTGCCTAATTGGAGCTAGGTGGTGTTAAAATGGCATTGTACACTATATTGGCAAAAGTATTGGGCCCCTCCAAATCAGAATTCAGGTGTTCCAATCACCTCCATGTCCACAGGTGTATGAAATCACGCACCTCGGCATCCAGACGCTTCTACAGACATTGGTGACAGAAATGGGTCGCTCTCAGTGACTACAAGCGTGGTACCGTGATAGGTTGTCACCTGTGCAATAAGTCCATCCGTGACATTTCCTTGCGACTAAATATTCCGCGGTTTCCTGTTAGTGGTATTATAACAAAGTTGCCAGGAGAAGGGTACTTGCCTGACTGCATTGTGCCAAGTTTTTCAGGGGTTGGGGTTTGGCCCCTTAGTTCCAGTGAAGGGAAGGCAAAGCAAGGTCCATAAAGACATGGATGGGGAAGTTTGGGGAGGAGGAACGTGACTGGTCTACACAGAGTCCTGACCTCACCCCGATAGAACACCTTTGTGAAGAATTAGAGCGGAGACTGCGAGCCCGGCCTTCTCCTCCAACATCAGGACCTGACCTCACAAATGGTCCAACATTCCCATAGACACACTTCTAAACCTTGTGGGCGCCTTCCCAGAAGAGTTGAAGCTGTTATAGCGGCAAAGGGCAGAGCCAACCCGATGCTGAACCCTACGGACTAAGACTGGGATGCCATAAAAGTTCAGGTGTGTGTAAAGGCGTCCCAATACTTTTGGCAATCTAGTGTATGTGGCAGGCAATAGATGTCTTGCCCCCACACCACCACCTCCTATTCAAACTTTTTTTTTAAAGATGTGAAAAGGGCCATTTATGTAAAAATGGAGAAGCCAAGCTTGAATAGGGGTGTATTGTTCAAAATCTCATCACGGCTCCAAGTCTTACCTTTCCTCATCAAGTCTGAGAAAACCAAGGGAAATGTGTGAAGGTTCTTTTATCCAGGACACGATATACCGGGAGTAGTGACGTTCAGTCGGACTTGTTCTGTAATGCTGAAGACATTTTGCCGCTTAACTAAGTGGATGCGTCAAGTTTACCCTGGAGTTTGGTTTTTCACTTTAGCTGTATTTTGCATAGCTCCCTTTGTTCCCCGTAGTTTTTGATGCGTCAAGTTTTACAGAGTGTCAGGGACATACCCCCCAGCATTGATATCCACACAGGTAACCCAATCACCTTCATCCAACCACCATGGGATGTCACCAGAGATGTTAATTGTCCAGGAGCGGAGGTGTGAAAGTTTGTGAAACCACCAATGTTCTATTCCATCCTATGGGCCTGTGATGTTTGGGACACGTCAGTGGTTCCGGTTACATGGCTGAGGACCTGTTCACACGACGTCCGTTTTCTGTGCTGATCTGATCCGTGCGCTCCTGCACTCAAAATGTATCCCAATGTGTTTTATGGGCTACAGTTCTCACTGCGCAGTCCGTTCAGGTTACGACAGAAAAAATACTGCATGTCACATTTTGTCTGGTCAGGAAACGCGTCAAAAACGCACCGCACTGCAGCTAACATACTGACAGCTTCACTCCAGCCAAAAAAAAAGAAATTTGTTTTTTTCTATTTAACTGGAATGTGGCAAAAACGCACTGCATCAGTAGCACCGCGTCTGCAGATCCGCACCTGATATCATGTGAACAGGCCCTCAAGGGTGGAATACTTAAAACGGCATTACACGTGGGTGATGGATGTTAATGCCTCCCAACTGTCATGTTCTTGGACGATCAACATCTGACTTGACAGATGGGTCAGAAGTATGCGACACATGAATGGGGGTGGGGGTGTCAGGAGTATGCGACACATGATTGGGGGTTTATGTGAGGCGGGGAGGGGGGTCATTGTAAATTTTACTGCAAGGTCGGTGAAAAGAAAGAGACCGATTTACCTCTCCCGCTGCCACCGGATGCCCCGCTGTTCAGGTGATACCCCAGGCAGACATGCTCTGACCCCCATCCACCACCACAGCTCTCATTGCTTCTTCCTGTTAAACTTTGCTATCTGTGTCACCATTGGGAAGATTTCTCCTAACTTCCTGGCCAGGTGACAGCAAAATCTACCCTGGTAAGTAAAGCAGCAAATGGGCGGTGTGTGGTGAATATGGCTGCCGCTGATGTGCATTGTAGTGCGTTGTGCGATGCATTGCATACGAATACAGACATGCTGCCATGTTATGCAACTCACATTAACACACTGGTATGATGACCAGGGCACATGGAGAACAATTGCTCTGTGTGTGGCTGAGGTCAGCTCAAGGACACAAATAGAACAGTTGTTCTGTTCAATTGTTCTGTGTGAAACAACCCAAAGTATGGACATATTCCAGACAGCCCGCACTCTGACCATTGTGCATTATATACACCACACTACTCAGCTTTACATCATTGCCAAATAGAAGTTATTTGTACTAAACATCATTCACACCACCAGGACTTCCCAATTCCACATTCCCATCCAATGAGCAGTCAGGGTTTGTGCTAGTATGCATTCTGAGTGATCCTGATATGCAGTTCCAGCTACAGCCTGCAGAGGTCACTCCTTCCCGCTGTCACCAGTCTGATCTATACGGCTGCTCTCTAATGGTTTGCAGCGGACTCTTCTCTATCCCGCTCTCCTCTCTATTGTACTGTTGTCCTGGTGACCGAGCTCTGTTCTTCCGGGTTGTCCTGACCTCAGTGGAGTGAATGTGAGGCGAATGATACCGGCTCAGGTCAGTCACACAGACTTATTGAATGGACATTCCTTACCCTATTATTGTATATATTCCTTATTATATACGTCACATTCCCCTATCACTGTCTATAATTATACTCCTCTGTCCTCTATCGCTATTATTATATCCCCCTCTGTCCTCTATCGCTGTCTATTATTATCCCCCTCTGTCCTCTATCGCTGTGTATTTTATATCCCCCTCTGTCCTCTATCGCTGTCTATTATTATATACCCCTCTGTCCTCTATCGCTGTCTATTATTATATCCCCCTCTGTCCTCTCGCTCTCTATTATCCCCCTCTGTCCTCTATCGCTGTCTATTATTATCCCCCTCTGTCCTCTATCTCTGTCTATTATTATATCCCCCTCTGTCCTCTATCACTGTCTATTATTATATCCCCCTCTGTCCTCTATCGCTGTCTATTATTATCCCCCTCTGTCCTCTATCGCTCTCTATTATTATCCCCCTCTGTCCTCTATCGCTGTCTATTATTATATACCCCTCTGTCCTCTATCGCTGTCTATTATTATATACCCCTCTGTCCTCTATCGCTGTCTATTATTATATACCCCTCTGTCCTCTATCGCTGTCTATTATTATATACCCCTCTGTCCTCTATCGCTGTCTATTATTATATACCCCTCTGTCCTCTATCGCTGTCTATTATTATATACCCCTCTGTCCTCTATCGCTGTCTATTATTATATACCCCTCTGTCCTCTATCGCTGTGTATTATTATATACCCCTCTGTTCTCTATCGCTGTGTATTATTATATACCCCTCTGTTCTCTATCGCTGTGTATTATTATACCCCTCTGTCCTCTATCGCTGTGTATTATTATATCCCCCTCTGTCCTCTATCACTGTGTATTAATATACCCCCCACCCCTCTGTCCTCTATCGCTGTCTATTATTATATACCCCTCTGTCCTCTATCGCTGTCTATTATTATATCCCCCTCTGTCCTCTATCGCTGTCTATTATTATATCCCCCTCTATCACTGTGTGTTATTATATACCCCTCTGTCCTCTATCACTGTGTGTTATTATACCCCCCTCTGTCCTCTATCACTGTGTGTTATTATACCCCTTTTGTCTTCTATCGCTGTGTGTTATTATACCCCTCTGTCCTCTATCACTGTGTGTTATTATATACCCCTCATGTCCTCTATCACTGTGTGTTATTATACCCCTTTTGTCTTCTATCGCTGTGTGTTATTATACCCCTCTGTCCTCTATCACTGTGTGTTATTATATACCCCTCATGTCCTCTATCACTGTGTGTTATTATACCCCTTTTGTCTTCTATCGCTGTGTGTTATTATACCCCTCTGTCCTCTATCACTGTGTGTTATTATATACCCCTCTGTCCTCTATCACTGTGTATTATTATACCCCCCTCTGTCCTCTATCACTGTGTGTTATTATACCCCCCTCTGTCCTCTATCGCTGTCTATTATTATATCCCCCTCTGTCCTCTATCACTGTGTATTATTATACCCCCCTCTGTCCTCTATCACTGTGTGTTATTATACCCCCCTCTGTCCTCTATCGCTGTCTATTATTATATCCCCCTCTGTCCTCTATCACTGTGTATTATTATACCCCCCTCTGTCCTCTATCACTGTGTGTTATTATACCCCCCTCTGTCCTCTATCGCTGTCTATTATTATATCCCCCTCTGTCCTCTATCACTGTGTATTATTATACCCCCCTCTGTCCTCTATCACTGTGTGTTATTATACCCCCCTCTGTCCTCTATCGCTGTCTATTATTATATCCCCCTCTGTCCTCTATCACTGTGTATTATTATACCCCCCTCTGTCCTCTATCACTGTGTGTTATTATACCCCCCTCTGTCCTCTATCGCTGTCTATTATTATATCCCCCTCTGTCCTCTATCACTGTGTATTATTATACCCCCCTCTGTCCTCTATCACTGTGTGTTATTATACCCCCCTCTGTCCTCTATCGCTGTCTATTATTATATCCCCCTCTGTCCTCTATCACTGTGTATTATTATACCCCCCTCTGTCCTCTATCACTGTGTGTTATTATACCCCCCTCTGTCCTCTATCGCTGTCTATTATTATATCCCCCTCTGTCCTCTATCACTGTGTATTATTATACCCCCCTCTGTCCTCTATCACTGTGTGTTATTATACCCCCCTCTGTCCTCTATCGCTGTCTATTATTATATCCCCCTCTGTCCTCTATCACTGTGTATTATTATACCCCCCTCTGTCCTCTATCACTGTGTGTTATTATACCCCCCTCTGTCCTCTATCGCTGTCTATTATTATATCCCCCTCTGTCCTCTATCACTGTGTATTATTATACCCCCCTCTGTCCTCTATCACTGTGTGTTATTATACCCCCCTCTGTCCTCTATCGCTGTCTATTATTATATCCCCCTCTGTCCTCTATCACTGTGTATTATTATACCCCCCTCTGTCCTCTATCACTGTGTGTTATTATACCCCCCTCTGTCCTCTATCGCTGTCTATTATTATATCCCCCTCTGTCCTCTATCACTGTGTATTATTATACCCCCCTCTGTCCTCTATCACTGTGTGTTATTATACCCCCCTCTGTCCTCTATCGCTGTCTATTATTATATCCCCCTCTGTCCTCTATCACTGTGTATTATTATACCCCCCTCTGTCCTCTATCACTGTGTGTTATTATACCCCCCTCTGTCCTCTATCGCTGTCTATTATTATATCCCCCTCTGTCCTCTATCACTGTGTATTATTATACCCCCCTCTGTCCTCTATCACTGTGTGTTATTATACCCCCCTCTGTCCTCTATCGCTGTCTATTATTATATCCCCCTCTGTCCTCTATCACTGTGTATTATTATACCCCCCTCTGTCCTCTATCACTGTGTGTTATTATACCCCCCTCTGTCCTCTATCGCTGTCTATTATTATATCCCCCTCTGTCCTCTATCACTGTGTATTATTATACCCCCCTCTGTCCTCTATCACTGTGTGTTATTATACCCCCCTCTGTCCTCTATCGCTGTCTATTATTATATCCCCCTCTGTCCTCTATCACTGTGTATTATTATACCCCCCTCTGTCCTCTATCACTGTGTGTTATTATACCCCTCTGTCCTCTATCACTGTGTGTTGTTATACCCCTTTTGTCTTCTATCGCTGTGAATTATTATATACCCCTCTGTCCTCTATCGTTGTCTATTATTATATACCCCTCTGTCCTCTATCGCTGTCTATTATTATATACCCCTCTGTCCTCTATCGCTGTCTATTATTATATACCCCTCTGTCCTCTATCGCTGTCTATTATTATATCCCCCTCTGTCCTCTATCGCTGTCTATTATTATATCCCCCTCTGTCCTCTATCACTGTGTGTTATCATATCCCCCTCTGTCTTCTATCGCTGTCTATTATTATACACCCCCCCGTCCTCTATCACTGTGTGTTATTATACGTGTTCCAGATTAGGTGCCTCACTCATCACAGAGCAGATTGGGGAATGGACGTTCTTCAGTTTGCTCACCATCTAGATCCTGACACCCTCTGTAGTGGTCCTCGTCCCCCCCAGAGGAGGAGGGGGATGGGCCAGGCCCGGAACAGCAGGGCTTGCAGTACCCCCCCTATAGGCGGCCCTGTCTGTCATTGGTTGCTAGTGGTCCTAGCAATCAAAGACTAAAGCCGAGGGGGGGGGGTCTGCGCTGGGTTATGGCTGGCAGTGGATGCACTAGCCTTGGAGGCCGGTGTATCCACTCTAGGGCAGCCAGAACCCAGCGAAGGTCGGCAATAGTATTCCAGACAGAACTGCCACCCGGTCCGTGTCAGGACCGTAATCTGCCATTTAGTGATCTGATTATGAGGAGACGGATGTCACTTATGGAAACTCAATATAGAAATACATATCTAGTTTTAGTTTTTCACCCTAGATACCCTTTTTTGGGGGGAGGGATTTTTTTTGGGTACTCGCCAATACCGGAAGTCCCATTAGGGAGCCGAGCGGCATGTAATGGCTCGCCACCCAGCTTCCTGATTATCCACAAAGCCTGCTCCATGCTCCCTCGTCACCTGGTATCGGTGCATCCGTATTTAAAATGTTACCCATCGGCCAGGAATACCCCTATGTGTATACCTGCCTGTATCTGGGAATGGCAGAGCGTGTTGTGAAGGCGCACTGTAATAACATGTCATTGAGCAGGATTTGTAGGTCATTCCGTGTCTTATCTCCAACTTATCTAAACCTTCCGTACACAGAGCAGTTAAATATATACTGAACACTGACAAACCTTCAATATGGTAGCACTGTATAGTCCTCAAAGCAAAACCGCAGGTTCTCTTTATTGCTACCATCCCCAGCTGCGCAGGCTCGCTTTCTGTTGCTCCATTCAGCCACCGAAAGCCGGAGAAGCCGCCCTGTGTAAACTACGAGGTGCTCATATCATTGAATAAACTTATGTGGGCAGTCTATATTCAGAAGTAGAAATGACATTCCCGGGTATGGATATTAGCTGATGTCGGCATTTTGTATACTATCCTCCCACTTCCATTGCACGTCTACAACTAACTTAGTGAATCTGCTTAAGCTGTGTGTTACCCCCTGTATTCCGCAGGATGAAGAGGGCTCCGGTGCTCCTTTTCCTGGCCTGGCTGTCCATCCTCTTTTACTCCGGCATCTGGCTTTTCATGAGCGGTTTCCTCCTCATGAGAATAGAACTCGGCAACCAGAGTGCGTGTTCTCAGCCTCCTTTTCCCGGACTTCTCAGCGGCTCCCAATCAGAGGCCACTTCCTGCTGGTACCCGCACAGGTTCAATAAGGCCGTGATTGTCATCATTGATGCCTTGAAGTATGACTTTGCCAAGTATGACCCGGCCAACACCAACCCAAAGCTCTACGAGAACAAGCTGGATGTGATCCACCAGCTTACCCAGTCCCAGCCTAGGCATGCCAGACTCTACCAGTTCCGGGCCGACCCTCCCACTACCACCATGCAGAGGATTAAAGGGGTCACCACAGGCTCGCTGCCGACCTTTGTGGATGTGGGCAGCAACTTTGCCAGCTACGCCATCCAGGAAGACAATCTGATCCATCAGATGGTACAAAATGGTGAGTCAACCCATTAGGGCTGCAACAACTAATCGACATAATCGATTATAATCGATTATTGAAAAAGTTGTCAACTTTTTCAATAATCGATTAATCGGCTTCCGATCAGTTGGCCCTGTTCACGGCTCCACACACGCTGTGCGCCGCACCTTTTCCCCACCTCACGCTCTCCGCTGCCAGACCCGCCCGCCCGCATCCACGCTGCACCTCCTCCCCGCCCGCCCACATCCACGATTGGCACAGGGACGCGGGGAGATGTAGTAAGGAGGAGCAGGTGTGGGGGGATGACAGCCGCTGATAGACAGGTCCGATCTCAGAAGCAAGTTGCTGGAAGACTGCTCAGGTAAGCCTGCACTTCCCACACATGGTGCTCTATAATGTATTGCTGGGATTTGTATTCCTCTATAGCTTATGGTACATTGTGCTGTATATTATACATAGGAATACACATCCAGCAATACATTATACACTGTATGTATAATGTATTGCTGGGATTTGTTGTATTCCTATATAGCTGGTGATATTCTGCACTGCACTGTATAGAGGACTACAAATCCCAGCAATAGTACATTATACAGCGCAATGCAGAATACCACCAGCTATAATGTACTATTGCTGGGATTTGTTGTAGTCCTCTATAGCTGGTGATATTCTGCATTGCGCTGTATAATGTACTATTGCTGGGATTTGTAGTCCTCTATAGCCGGTGCCATTCTGCATTCATTGCTGTATAATTTTACACTTTCCTTTTCACTATATTGCACACCACACTATTTTTTTCCACCGCTCCAAGCTTGCTCCTGTGATGGACTACAATCTCAATACAAACTAGTAGTCCCATCACTGGAGCCATTTTTAAAACGTTATTTTATTGTTTATCCGATTAACCGATTAATTGAACTTAATAATCGGCTAACTAATCGATTTTGAAAATAATCGTTAGCTGCAGCTCTACAACCCATTACTAATGAGACTTATTTTAGTGATAAGTCTTCTAATGAGTGTTTTGTCTGGACAATCAGATTGTCAGGACTCCATTGCGTCTTCTTCCTCCATTGCAGCTGAATGTACCAGGTGCTTCTGGGTATGAGGGAGCATGTGACCTCGTCCCATGTGACCTCGTCCCATGTGACCTCGTCCCATGTGACCTCGTCCCATGTGACAGTGCTGGGGCCTAGCAGCCAGTCTCTATGCCCAAGGACTGTCATATGACAATGGAAGTGACCTAACTCCCCCTAGTGGCCACAGTGGGGGAGCCGTGACAAGGTTTTTTTAGGGGGATGGGGTAGGGGTTGCTATTAGGGATGCACAGATACTAGTATCGGTGCCGATACCGAGTATTTGGGCGAGTACTCAGCCATGCTCCGATACCTTTCCCGATACTGGAACTTCGGTCATCTCCTCTGACCGGCAGTGCCGCCCGGGAACATGGAGCTGGGAAGCTGGCTCCATGCTGTTTGGCCGGCTCCATGCTGATTGGCCGGGAAGCCGGCTTCTTAGCCAATCGGCATCAAGCCGGGCATACAAATCTGATAATATGGCGACACGACCCCCACCCTGCAGACAAATCATTCCCCTCACATAGATCCTTTAGCAGCAGTCATTACCGTACAAGTCCCTCGGCCAGCTGGGCAGACACTGCTCTCCGGGACTGGTACGGTAATGACTGCTGCTAAGGATCTATGTGAGGGGAATGAGGTGTCTGCAGGGTGGGGGTCATGCCACCATGTTGTCAGACCTGTTCGGCCGGCGTCGATGCCGATTGGCTGGGAAGCCGGCTTCCCGGCCTATCAGCATCGAGCCGGCCAAACAGAATGGAGCCGGCTTCCCGGGCAATGAAGACGCCGGGCGGTGGGTAATGACAAGACCGCTTGGCTTCCTGATTGCCCGGGAAGCCAGCTCTATGCTACCGGAAGTACCAGTATCGGCGAGTACCGAAATATAAATATCGGTCCTCGTACTCGATACCGAAAAACCGGTATCGGTGCATCCCTAGTTGTTATATTTGACCATCGCATAATGAGCGATGCTTTTTGTTTAGCTGTGCTGCATGTAAGTCTTCTCAGTCCAAAAACAGAATTGTTGTATGATTAAATATTCCTGTTTCGGCAGCCATGTAGCAGGGTTGCTGACTGCACTGCAGTGTACAGGTGAAACTCGAATAATTAGAATATCGTGCAAAGTTCATTTATTTCACTAATGCAACTTAAAAGGTGAAACTAATATATGAGAGAGACTCATTACATGCAAAGCAAGATAATTCAAGCCGTGATTTTGTCATCATTGTGATGATTATGGCTTACAGCTCATGAAAACCCCAAGAACCCCAAATCCACAACCTCAAAAAAGTAGATTATTACATGCAATCAATAAAACAAGGATTGTACATAGAACAATATCGGACCTCTGAAAAGTACAAGCATGCATATGTACTCAGTACTTGATTTGGGCCCCTTTTGCAGAACTTACTGCAATTACTTTTGCACGATATTCTAATTATTCGAGTTTCACCTGTATATCTGTAAATGAAGAGAGAGAGGATGGTTTGATTATTCACTTTTTATTGTCCTGATTCAGGGAAGAGAGTGGTGTTCATGGGAGATGATACCTGGGATGGACTGTTCCCAAAAAAGTTCTACAAGTCCTTCTTCTTTCCTTCCTTCAATGTGAAGGACCTTCACACGGTGGACGACGGAATCTTGCAGCACCTCTATCCTACCGGTGAGTGAAAAGCTGACGGGTGAGTGAAAAACATTGCCAAACTTTGTACCAGAAACATCATTTTAGTGACATTTTAAATTGGAGAAAATTATAGAATAAAAGTGAAACTAACTTTTTTTTTTTAAACGAACATTTATACTTCTTTTTGTCCCTAGACTCCATATAAAATAAAGTAATTTTTTACAAAACAGTATTCCCAAAAGAAAACCTAGTTTTTCCCCTCCAGAAATATACGTATTACTTTGTGATGGACTACAATCTCAGGTTTAGTTTACTAATTTGTATTGAGATTGTAGTCCGTCCAGGGAATGAGCTTGGAGCGGTGACCACTTTACAACACACACAGGGACCATGGGGAGCAAAAGTAGCCACCCCTCCAGAAGGAAGGACAGTGTCGGCACCAATTCAGAGATGATTTGAGAATATACAGCCGAGTGATACACAAATAAGATACATTTCTGTTCATAGTTAGGGGACTTGAATGTATTTTTTAAGATTTAACTCCTGAGTTTAGTGTAATGTCTTAAGTAGGTTGTTGCTGCTGTTATTCGGGGATCCTCTAACCATCCAAATGACGTGTAACTGGATGACTGTACAGGGCTACACTCTGTGATGTGTCATATTTTATATCATGTCACCCTTTTTCTCCTCTCAGTGGACGGAGAAGATTGGGACGTAGTAATTGCTCATTTTCTTGGAGTCGATCACTGTGGACACAAGCATGGGCCAGACCACCCAGAGACCGCCAAGAAACTCGCACAGATGAATCACATGATCAGGTGAGAGGACCTCTTCCTCAGCTTGACAGCTTTGGCTGTTGGATAGCAGCCCCTTTAATTGGATTTCGGGTACTTTCAATTATTAAAAGAGAACTATGGGGTTAGTGTTTTTCTTCATAGTTCTCTTAAGAGTCACGGGAGGACATAAACTAGCGTCCCCCCGTGACCCAAAGCTCAGTATATAGCGAGCTACAGCTCGCAGTATAGGGAGACCGCCGGGATGGATCCCGACAGTGCTGTCGAGATCCACCCAGGCAGCTGGCTCTGCCTATCTAGAGGTAGAGCCAGCTGTATCAGCCTCCTCCCCTGTCCGTTCCTCCAGTCAGCACTGGAGGATCAGAGCGGGGAGGGGGGGAATCCCTGCGGGGAGAGGTGACTGATAGTCACTGCTCTCTGCAGGGAGATGATCGAGAAGTGAGCAAGCGACGGTATGCATTTGCTCACTTCCCGATCTATTGAGCCGACGTGTGACAGTTTCAAAGTCGCACGGCGGCTCCAACTATGAGGATGAGTGTAAATCACTCACCCCATAGTTCTCCTTAAGTCCCCCGTCTGGGTCCCTCACCAGCGATGTTACGAGGTGCAGGGGACCAGTAACTCTTCTGCAGCAATGACCAGTCCCCAACAGTTTCCTTGAGTTGATGTCATCGATACAGCCTCCTCTTCCGGATCCAAAAATGACCCCATTGCTGGACAGCCAATAGTTGTAGTGGAGACTGCTTTCCTAGAAGGAACACTTCTGATTTGATGCCATCACGATCCTGCTGTGCCCAGCAATCTGGTAACTCATCACATATAAATATTTTCCACAGGTCCCTCATAGAACATCTGGATGACCAGACCTTGTTGGTGGTAGCTGGAGACCACGGGATGACGGACACCGGAGACCATGGAGGAGACAGTGAGAAGGAAGTGACTGCAGCTCTCTTCTTGTATAGCAAAGCCCCGCTTTTCTCTAAGGAGCTCCTGGAGGTACTTTATCCGTAGGGTGGCTTATTGGATGAAACAGGATCATAATATGATATATACATGTATAATATAAAATACATAAAATGCCCCAATTATTGCCCCTTACATTATTTCAGGTTATGTTCCCTGTATGAGCTGCCTGCTGTATATGTGACTGTTATTCTGTCATAGGAGCCGGAAGCCGTCCCCCAGGTGAATTTGGTCCCAAGCCTGGCGCTTCTCCTTGGTATCCCCATCCCGTACAGTAACCTGGGAGCTGTGATCAGCGACCTCTTCTGGTGGTCAGAGGATGGAGATGACATATCAGCCCTCCTTACAAAGACAAGGACTTATCAGCTTAACGTTCAGCAGGTCTGTATGTTTAAAATGTAATTACTATTCTTTCTTTGCAGGGCTTGAACAATTTTAGGGTGTCTCACCAGTCAGTCAAAAATGTCACCAGTCAACATGACCGGACTATGGCCTTACAATTTGTGTAAAAAATCACGTCGGGTAAATAAACACCAAACATGTCAAGCCTTAAAATTGCGCGTGCCTGCAAACAAAACGACCACATCGAAAATTGACCATAGGCGACACTTTAAATGCTCTTACTGCTCATCAGTTTAGTGTTATCAGTGATTGATGGCCCTAGAATTATTGCTCACACTCCAACGTTCGCGGTGATATGTTGCATGTGCGGCACAATAGGCGGAATTGTCGTTTTCGCACATAGGCGCACCCGACGCATGTTTGCATGTGTATGTGGGGGACTTAAGAAAAAATTTAGTATTTTTTTGATGCTTTATTTTTTTTATTACTCCTTTTTTTTTTTTTACACTTAACATTATTGCTATCACATAGGGGGATAAGAAGCCCCCTATGTGATGGCCAATTTACATGACAGATCCTCCTAATGGAGACATCAGGGGTCTCCAAGACCCCTAATATCACCTAGGGACTCCAAGAGAAGCTGATGAAGCAGAGATCTGCTTCACTAGCTTCTTCTCCTGGCTACAGGAGCCGGAGAATGTGCCCAGTGACACTGGAAGGGATGTAACATAGTATTTGAGGTTGAATAAAGACATAAGTCCATCAAGTCCAACCAGTTTTAGGTGGTGTCCTCTAGTCTTTGTTACGGAATGTAATTACGGATGTAATAGATATCGCTTACGGGTTTAGTGATCGGAGGAGAGATCAGCGGCTTCTACAGCT